ACCTGTGTGACCTGTGTGACCTTAAGCTATGTGACCATTACCCACTCTGCAGTTCTAATATTAGCCATCACAGCCAAGCCCGTAGATAAAACGCTGGACCATGAAAGCTTTAACAAAAGCAGAACGTCATTAGAATAAATAACCGATGTGAATGTTTGTGCTATCTGGTCCATACGGTTTATTCACTGTTACAATGTAAGGACTGTTTGTAAGTCTATAAATTCCTCGGCTGACAGATTAGATTATCCTCCATAAGTGACAGCTCGTTTTAGGGTAGATGAAGGGGAAGGACTTGGTTTATATTAGGATTTAACTTTGAAAAATATACTACTTTGACTATTCACAACAAACCTAGTAAAACAAAAGTGAAGTTCCACAACCTCCACACAAGAAAGACAACCCAACTAAATGTTGTCTTCAATGTCTCAAAATGTCAAACTAATAGGAGACAAATGTAAAGGAATAAATTTTCAATACTGAGCTGTTTTTATGTAGTAATTTTTATATAGTAAAGTGTGTATAATTAAGCATACATTTTATTAACCTATGTAATTTTAACTTCTTAAAGTTAAAATAATTTATGAGAAACACTGCAAAAATGCGTAACCCATATTAAACGTGTGTATGTAATGAATATATAAAGTTAACTTTTTTTTTATAACGACTATTTTAAATTATTGCTTATTAACGTTTATAATATACCTGGCAGTTTCTGGGAGACAATTTCTTGACTTTGGGTGGCGTCAAAGTGTCACACTTAGCTAGTGACACCACTGTATTTCATTATCGCAGGCTAGAAGACTGCGTTGACTTCAATGACACCCCTCCTAAACCCCAATACTTATCTTTCTCAAACGTCACCACATCTCACAACATCGGGACCACATCACACACCAACAGCGCCACCGTTGCTGCTTATGGCCAATGCCTAAAACGTCAACACAAACCAGACATTAGCCTACGATAATAAAAATAAACTGCAAAATCACAGATATTTTAAATTCATATTTATTCATGGAAGCAAACTTCGTGCGAAAAATGCGAAGATTATTTTTTGAAAATACAATATATATATATATATATATATATATATATATATATATATATATATATATATATATCCTAATATGTAAAAGCCCATGTGCGCACTTCTCTCTCTCCCTCTCTATTTCTCTTTCTGTCCGCAAATTATTTTCGTCGGGTATCACATCAGAATCTGCAGCAATATATAAAGAACTGGATACGGACTTTTGTTGAAAATAATATGGTAGATGTTTTAAATGTATAACCAACATTTTATTTAAAGAAGAAAAATAAAAAAAATAAAGGCATATTTGAACGTAGAAAAACAGTTTGATGCAACAGGAAAAGCGTTTAAAGTTTGGAAAAAGAACCCATGAAACAATGACGTCACTAATGTTTATACATTAACTAATGACGTCATCTGCCGAGTTTAGCATAAAAAGAAATGAACTATTTCATTCAAATTTGATTTAGATCTAGATCTAGACCTACGTACGCTATGAAATGTATACAATATAATTTTTCCGGCCTAAGCTTATAAAATTTCTTTTTATCTATTTGGATTCTAGATCTAGAGATTCTAGATCTAGTCTAGATCTAAATCTACGCAAAAACTAGACGTAGAAGTTAAGTCGCTAAGATCTAGATTTAGACTCGGATGATTATGTAGCCATGTCTCGGATGGTGACACCCCTCTATGTAGCCATGACTAGGATGGTGACACCCTTCTATGTAGACATGACTGAAGTGTTGATACCACTCTATGTAGACATGACTGAGGTGTTGATACCACTCTATGTAGACATGACTGGGGTGGTCACACCCTTCTATGTAAACATGACTGGGGTGGTGACACCCTTCTATGTAAACATGACTGGGGTGGTGACACTCTTTTATGTAAACATGACTGAGGTGTTGATACCACTCTATGTAGACATGACTGGGGTGGTGACACCCTTCTATGTAAACATGACTGGGGTGGTGACACTCTTCTATGTAAACATGACTGAGGTGGTGACACTCTTCTATGTAAACATGACTGAGGTGGTGACACTCTTCTATGTAAACATGACTGGGGTGGTGACACTCTTCTATGTAAACATGACTGAGGTGGTGACACTCTTTTATGTAAACATGACTGAGGTGGTGACACTCTTCTATGTAAACATCACTGAGGTGGTGACACCCCTCTATGCGACCATGTCGTGTCTAGCGCCATCCCACCACGTCTACACACCCCGCCAACAGCGGGGTTCATTACGGCCACTGTTGTCACGGTTGTATATATTTTTTTCTTCTATTATCCTTTATATTCACTATTTATTCAACTCCTATTATGGTATTATCATATAAGCTCTTATCTCTAGCATTAACCCAGGTTTTAAGGAAATCAGTATTCGTACTTCAATCGTTAAAATTCATGCTTTGCTATTTTAAGTCAAGGTTTTTTTTTTAACTAAAGTAAAAATATATACAATATATGCCCTATTTCTATGTCTGAATGTAAATTACTTTAATTACCAAAATACGAGGGCAAATTAGAACTTATGAAATTAATTAACTAGACCCCTGATATGTAAGATTTTAAACTGTGTATATTAAAATTTTAATTTATTTCACAAGATTTAAGAAAAATTCTGCAATTTCCAAACGTGATGTAGAAAAAGAATCAACAACAGCTGATTTTATCGCGGTCAAAATAAAAATTGTTCTAATATTTAAAAAAAAAGAATAGAAAACAAAATCTCGGAAAGTTAAGATTTATTTTTACTTTGATCCTTACTTTTATTTTAAACTTTTCTTTAACTTTTTTCTTCAATTTTATTGTATTATTTATTATTTACAAATGCACAGTCTGATGTAAACATTGTGAAACATTCAATTTAATTACTTGTAACACTTTTGCTAAACAAGAGTTGTTCTGACTTTTTCATTGGTTTTAAGTTTTTCTGTTTGCTAAAAAAAAACAATACATTATAGCCTAAAATGTGTTTCCAATTTATTATTTCATAAGTTAGACGACAATAACATCATGCTACAACAACATATAAATTAGGTGTGGTATAAAAATACTGTACTAGTCTATATGAAGTACTGGAAACCAAATCAGAAAGTATTATCAAACTATTATTCACTATCGCTAATACCAACCATAAAATATAAAAGTGAAAAATTTTGTAAAAATGAAAGTATACTTTACTAAATAACAAGACCGGGTAGTTTAATCAAATTTATGTTAATTTCACTAATATTTCTTTATTATCTACCTTTTTAAGCACAGTGGGAAAAATTAGCACTAAATAACTGGACTTAAAATTGCGCTGCCTAGTAAAAAATCGCATCAGGGAATAATCCCACGTAAAAACTAAGCCAAACTTTTATATTGGTATATTATTGGTAATAAAAAAAACAGGCCTGAGCTCCCTATATATTGTTTTTTTATATAGTTTTTGTTTGCTTTTGTGTTTGCGTTTGTGTTTAAGTTTGAGTTTGCTTTCATATTATAATTTTTCTAGCTTTATAATTTTGCCTTAGATTTTTCATTTCCAATAATACGATAACATATTCTTATTTGAAATGTTTTGTTTGAGTTTGTATTTTTTTCTAAGCCATCCAATCATCTACCATCTCAGCTGCGCCAACAAACAGACTCTTCTTCCTTGAGTGCTAGTGACATCGACTAAAATCTCTAAAACTTTATAATAATATTTTCCTTATAACTAGCCGAATGATTTTATTAGTTGAAAAATTTTTCAAATAATAATTAGTATAATTTAAAGAAATTTTTTTATTGTTTACGAAACATTAACGTTTTTTTATTAGGAGTGGACTGGCTATGTGGCTATGTTCCAATAGACAGGAAAATAAATCCAAACTTAAACTATTAAAAGTGCATTTTTTGTTATCTAACTTTGAGGACAGATACCTTCAAAGTCACACTCTAAAAATTTCAATACACAATAATAACAGATGGCAAAATGAAAAGGTTAGTTAAATAAAGACATCAATAAATAAATGTCATCTGACAGATAAATGGAAAGATATGATAAATAAACAGCGGGTAAACTGAACCTAAAGCTGTACAAATGGATGGAATGTTTAAAAAATAGCACTGTTATTTATTTATAAATAGAACATCAATAAGTAACATCTGGATAGAGACACGTTCAAGTTTTTTGGTTTTGTAAATTGTAATACGTTTTTTTATAGGGAGAAGCAAACTAAACACATGAATGAAATGGACACTAAATGTGTACAAAATAAACAAATGAATAAAATGGACACTAAATGAGTACAAAATAGACACATGAATAAAGTAGGCAACAAAAATTTGACATACATATGATCTCATTCAAAAGGAAATTATAACTCGTAGAGTATGCTGCAACGATTTCAAAATGTGGAAATATATAAAACGCAAGAAGGATGTGAAAATGGAAATAAGGTATTAATTGTTTATACGGTGCTACACAAATTATATCCCTTATATGGTACCAAGTGACTCACATTTGTCATGGAAAGATCACAAGTAGGTCCCTATAACGAGACAAAGTAAGTTTTAGTTTTAATAACTCGCCCAGGGTCATGTGAGAGGCAGGGACATAGCTATATAAAGCACAATGGCAGTTGGAAGTTTTGTAGAGTATTACGATAAGGGCTGTATGCAAATCAGCTCTTTGAAATATTTTCTATCTTAATAACACGTTTATTCAGTCATATTAAGCAAGATATTATATATATATATATATATATATATATATATATATATATATATATATATATATATATTATATATTATATATATGCTGCAGATAGTTATATAAAAAGTTAGATTTAGTTTCCCATTAAATTATAACTTATAGATTTAAAGTTCTAAATTTAGGAACAGTTAAGACTGAATCAGATCACCTTGACATTCGATATTGACTGAGTTTAAGAAGGTATTATATAAATACTTTCAAATACGTCAAACGGTCGCAGATGGTTGGGAACATTTCACTTGTTTAGTAAGCTCTTATTTTATATATTAATATAAATATATATATATATATATATATATATATATATATATATATATATATATATATATATATATATATATATATATATATATATATATATATATATATATATTATATATATATATATATATTAATATATATATATATATATATATATATATATATATATATATATATATATATTAATATTAATATTAATATATATATACATACATATATATGTATATACGTATATAAGTATATATGTATATATGTATATATATATATATATATATATATATATATATATATATATATATATGTGTGTGTGTGTGTGTGTGTGTGTGTGTGTGTGTGTGTGTGTGTGTGTGTGTGTGTGTGTGTGTGTGCATTTATTTATTTATTTATTTAAAATCTTCCAAATGTAAATTAAACAAATGCTTTTATTTTTCAAACATTCCACAGCTAACTTTTATATTAAACCAACACAATTTATACATTTACACTCAAAACTTCTACCATCTTCCTTTTAACTTGCCCTTAACAACGGCAGGCTTTGAGAGCGAAGATGAAAACACAAACATTTATGTCTCCGCCACGAGCCCGAAAAAAAAAATGCCCTAATTCTGTTATTAGACTGTTTCATGAGCTTATAATAAGCATGTTACTGAAGTTGTTAGCTTTGACTGTCATTAGAATCGTCGTACGATCTGATTCTGGTTGGGTTGTCAGGCAAATGTGTTGGCATCTGAATCTATCAGAATATTGTGTTATGATGTTTGGTTCCTCTTGCTGTTTTGGTGAGTTGAAACTAAGTTTTTCACTGAACTTGTTAGCTTTGACTCTCATTAGAATCGTCGTACGATCTGATTCTGGTTGGGTTGTCAGGCAAATGTGTTGGCATCTGAATCTATCAGAATATTGTGTTATGATGTTTGGTTCCTCTTGCTGTTTTGGTGAGTTGAAACTAAGTTTTTCACTGAACTTGTTAGCTTTGACTCTCATTAGAATCGTCGTACGATCTGATTCTGGTTGGGTTGTCAGGCAAATGTGTTGGCATCTGAATCTATCAGAATATTGTGTTATGATGTTTGGTTCCTCTTGCTGTTTTGGTGAGTTGAAACTAAGTTTTTCACTGAACTTGTTAGCTTTGACTCTCATTAGAATCGTCGTACGATCTGATTCTGGTTGGGTTGTCAGGCAAATGTGTTGGCATCTGAATCTATCAGAATATTGTGTTATGATGTTTGGTTCCTCTTGCTGTTTTGGTGAGTTGAAACTAAGTTTTTCACTGAACTTGTTAGCTTTGACTCTCATTAGAATCGTCGTACGATCTGATTCTGGTTGGGTTGACAGGCAAATGTGTTGGCATCTGAATCTATCAGAATATTGTGTTATGATGTTTGGTTCCTCTTGCTGTTTTGGTGAGTTGAAACTAAGTTTTTCACTGAAGTTGTTAGCTTTGACTCTCATTAGAATCGTCGTACGATCTGATTCTGGTTGGGTTGACAGGCAAATGTGTTGGCATCTGAATCTATCAGAACATTGTGTTATGGTGTTTGGTTCCTCTTGCTGTTTTGGTGAGTTGAAACTAAGTTTTTCACTGAAGTTGTTAGCTTTGACTCTCATTAGAATCGTCGTACGATCTGATTCTGGTTGGGTTGTCAGGCAAATGTATTGGCATCTGAATCTATCACACCATTGTGTGATGGTGTTTGGTTACTCTAGTCTCTGGTGGTGTTGTGAACTACGTAGCATTCACCTAGTCAAATGTTGGATTTGTTCCATTCGTCGTTCAAGTAATTGCTACTGGTACATTGGTATTGATTTGTTTGGTATACATGCGTTTTATGTTTTGATTGCCAGTTCCTTTTTGTTAAATACATCATGAGAAGCAATTTTGTTATTTACATAAACGATTTAGTGTTGTTCCAAGGTATAAACCAGTCGGTTTTTTATATTGTCAATTTGAATGCAACTTCACTTTTAGTGTGGTTTTTCCATAAATCAGTGAAGTGCAGTTTAGTTCTGTCTATTTATATAGACATAAACGGTATATTGGTGTTCCCAGGTATAAAGCATACATGCACTTGCATGTTCAAGTTAATATGTTTAATTAGTCGGTGGTGCTTATATAAGCCCACACGCAATACTTATGATTATGGTAGATCTAGTTGCCTCTGGCATACGTTGGTGATACGTTGCAAACCAAATAACTGCTATTGCTTTAGCGGTTACTTGGTGGTTTTGTTGTCGTGTATTTTTGCAGTAAATAGCTATACGTTTAGCTGTTGCTTGGTAATTTTGCTGTCGTGTATTTTAGCAATAAATAGCTATTTGTTTAGCTGTTGCTTGGTGATTTTGCTGGTGTATATTTTAGCAATAAATAGCTATACGTTTAGCTGTTACGTGGCGATTTTAAATACGTCTCTTTTGTACTACAACCACGTTATTTATTGGTGGTATCGTTGGCCTATCAGTTACCATCGATGTTCGATGTGTTTGATAAATAATTCAAGTAATTGTTACTGGTATATTGAATATGAAGTGGTAGATAAAAGAATCGATTTCAATCAGGTGCGTTATATCGACGATCATATATTTAAACCAAATGGGTTGATGTTGAGTTCTTTAGTCTCGGGTCATCTCTGTTCGATACTAAAGAAAACTCAGCATAAGAAAGACAAGGATAAAACTAGCCGTCTGTATTGTCAAACTGAATTATATTGTAGCGATCTCAAATCAGTAAAGTCGAAAGAGAACGAAAGTTTACTAACCGGCTTCTGTAGTAGAAAGACAGCAAATTTTAATATTAGTGCTGTGTTCAAGTCATTGGATGCCAGTTTCCCATTGTCGCTTTCGCGGCATTATGTATGTTTTCCATTGTTGTATAATCATCTGGGGCCTCCTACTTTGTCAAATTATGAAAGGCGTCAGCCTGTGATAAATACTTTTAGTAATACACGTTCTCGGTTGCTAGCAACGCCTAATTACACTCAACAACATGGTTTCCCTACGACACATTCCACACGACCGTATAGGTTCCCGACGGCAAATTGTTCTCGACCGTATAGGTTCACAACGGCAAATTATTCTCGACCATATAGATTCCCGACGGCAAATCATTCGCCACCGTATTGGTTCCCTACGACACATTCCACACGACCGTATAGATTCCCGACGGCAAATTGTTCTCGACGGTATAGGTTCCCAACGGCAAATTATTCTCGACCATATAGATTCCCGACGGCAAATTATTCGCCACCGAATTGGTTCCCAACGACACATTCCACACGACGGTATAGGTTCCCGACGGCAAATTATTCTCGGCCATTTTGGTACCCGACGGCAAATTATTCGCCACCGTATAGGTTCCCGACGGAAAATTATTCGCCACCGTATAGATTCCCGACGGCAAATTATTCGCCACCGTATTGGTTCCCTACGACACATTCAACACGACCGTATAGGTTCCTGACGGAAAATTACGCACTTCCCCCTTCGTTACCAACTCCAAACTATGTAAGACCCCCTTTGTTACCAACTCCTAACTACGTACGACCCCCTTTATTACTAACTCCAAACTATGCTCGACCCCATTTGTTGCCAACTCCAAACTACGTACGAACCCTTTTGTTACCAACTCCAAACTACGCCCGACCCCCTTTGTTACCAACTCCTATCTACGCACGACCCCCTTTGCTACCAACTCCAAACTACATACGACCCCTTTTGTTACCAACTCCAAACTACGCCCGACCCCCTTTGTTACCAACTCCTATCTACGTCCGACCCCCTTTGCTCGCAACTCCAAACTACGCCCGACCCCCTTTGCTCGCAACTCCAAACTACATACGACCCCGTTTGTTACCAAATCCAAATAGCAAACGTCCCTCCCACCATAGACCAACTTTCATTCCCTCACCAACCTATCCTGACATTACCCCTGACATTGCTCAACCCATCCATCACAACACACGCACACAACAACAACACGCCAACAACACACATACTAGACACCAATTCACACATCACAGAAACAGATCTATGTCCTGCTCTCGACCTCAACCACACAAGCACACACACAGAACAAACCCACAGGCTACACAAACTAGGTCGACCAATGTGGACCAGTTGGACAATGTCCAGTCTAGAAGTTCTTCACCCTGCGCTGCAATACATGAGCAAGTCCTAACTAGACCGACTCAATGTGAAACTAGGGGAGACGATAGGCTTTCTGGACAAGCAACTGCTTCATTCAATCTTTCTCCTCCAGCTAATAACTCAACTATAACAATAGAACAACAAGCTTACAACACACAGCCACATACAGAAACAACTCACACCCCCAATGAAACGTCTGCTTCATCGGTTCCCTACAAGGATACACATTTTAGACTTTGCAGAAATGAAAATATGGACAAAAGCTCGTCCAACAGGTCTGTGCCAGCAACATTTCCAACAGAAACAATTCAGGAAAATAACCTTTCACAAAATGTCCTTCGGAATGTTGCGGCCTATCAAATTGAAGCAGGAAAAGAGAACTCGTCAACAGTTGAACATATTTTGAGTCTTTTAGATAGAGGAGCCTTAGCTGAAAACTCTCAAAGAATCCATGGACCTAATATTATGTAAGTATTGAATTTATTTGATTGAGGTTTGGACATTGATAAAATATGCACATACCTCACTTGTAAAAGGTGCCACACACACACATACGTACATATATACAGAACTTTTTCGTGTAACTTTTCATATTTATAACTGTACACCATGTATCCCCAGCTATTTCAACAACATCATCATGAACAACAACATCAACAACAGCACCAACAACAACAACACAAACCACTGCACCAACAATATCAACGGAAAAAACGTTGTTGTAAGCGGCGAGATCAACTTGAACGCTGCAGACACTGACGAGACCAACGATGAGGACAGTGGAGATGAAAGTCAATGAACACAAGTCAATGGTACTCAGACACCAATAGAACATGGGGAAGGTCACAAATCAACGGATCACAAACATCTAGAAGACATTATTTAACATTAAGACATTGTTTTAAAGTTTTGTCATGTAACTGAAACTAGACCAATAGATAACGAAGTCGAAATATGCAGTCATTTCAAACCATTTTAAGAAAGTATTCACAGTTGACCTTCGTCCGCTCATTTTGTTTAGGAATTATAATTTATAATGACATAATGTTTTAATTATATTGACATATTTTTGAATTATATTAACGAACAACATCTTGACGCGCTGACAACACCACTTCCCATTAACATTAGCCACATTGTAATGATTTAGCCAAACACTACTTTGTACTAAAATGCAATAATTTACCTAAGTCTACGTTAATATGACTATACCTAAACACTACTTTATATAAATTTCACGGCTTAAGTAATTTTATTGAATAGCAACTTAAATCCTGTACAGTTTAATAGCCTTATACAAATATTTTTATATTCTTTTGCTATTCACAAAGCTTACGTTACTTAAACTACACTACAAAAAAAATAAAGTCTTATGTTATAAGGACTTGTTAAAAAACAGCCGCTTTATTCAAAGCACAAATAAAGTACACAGATCGGTTATGCTAGACATTTGAAACAAAAAGCAAGGAGCTAAAGAAATGTTTATCTATACATTTATTCAATACAAAGATATATAATTACATTACATTTCTCTGATCAATCTACGTGTTGCTTTTATAATTGTGAACTTGTAGCCTGAAAGTTGTGTGACCTGTGTGACCTGTGTGACCTGTGTGACCTTAAGTTATTTGACCATTACCCACTCTGCAGTTCTAATATTAGCCATCACAGCCGATCCCGTAGATAAAACGCTGGACCATGAAAGCTTTAACAAAAGCAGAACGTCATTAGAATAAATAACCGATGTGAATCTTTGTGCTCTCTGGTCCATATGGTTTATTCACTGTCACAACGTAATTACTGTTCGAATGTCTATAAATTCCTCGGCTGACTGATTAGATTATCCTTTATAAGTGACACCTCGTATTAGGGTAGATGGGTGGGAAGGACTTGGTTTATATTAGGATTTAACTTACTTAAATATACTACTTTGACTATTCACAACAATCCTAGTAAAACATAAGTGAAGTTCCACAACATCCACACAAGAAAGACAACCCAACTAAATGGTGTCTTCAGTGTTTAAAAATGTCAAACTAACAGGAGACAAATGTAAAGGAATAACCTTTCAATCGCTTCAATATTGAGCTGTTTTTATGTAGTAATTTTTATATATTAAAGTGTGTGTAATATAGCATACATTATATTAACCTGTTTAATTTTAACCCAAAACCTAAAACGTGTGTATGTAATGTATATATAAAGTTTACTTTTTTTTCAACACGACCATTTAATGCATTGTTTATAAAAGTTTATACCTGGCAGTTTCTGGGAGACAATTTCTTGACTTTGGATGGCGTCAAAGTGTCACACCTAGCTAGTGACACCACTTTATTTCATGATTGCAGGCTATAAGACTACGCTGACTTTAATGACAACCCTCCCTCTAACCCCAATACATGTCTTTCTCAAACGACACCACATATCACAACAACAGCATTACATAGCACACCAACAGCGTCACCGTTGCTGCTTATGGCCAATGCCTAAAACATCCACACAAATCAGACATTAGCCTACGTAATTAAAAAAACCTGCAAAATCAAAGATAGTTTCAGTACATATTTATTCATATAAGCAAGCTTCGAGGGAAAAGTGAGAAAATTATTTTTTGAAAATACAACATAAAAATTTCCTTAAAAAACGTTTTAATAACAAGTGTTAATGTAATAATTCACTAAAAAGTAGAAAATAATTATACACTACTATTTAAATAACTATAAAGAAAAGCGTGGGTCACTTTAGTATCTATTGGATATCTTTACTAATGTTTAGGAAGAGAACCACGCTTTTCTTTTTAGTAATTTAAATATTAGTGTATAATTTATTTTCTAGTTTTTAGTGCATTAGTACATAAACTCTTGTTATTAAAACGTTTTTTGGCCTTTTTTTGTACTATACATGTTTTATTTACAATAGAGTTGCATGACTAAAAACCCCTGCGCACCTATCGAACGTGATGACGACCTATTGAGCTTGATGACACGTATATAATAGCGCGGAATAGTTTGATGAGACCGCCTACTAATTTGGACAAAATTTTTATTAATTCATAAAAAAATAATCAGGCGACCAATTAAGTCGAATTGAATATCATGATGCATTGTCTTCATGTCTTGACCCACGTACCAACTACGAGCCGTATCTGTCAGTTAGAAGTGCCTGCAATTTCGCTCGGCCGTTTAGATCTAGACATATTGACGACAGACTGACGACAGACTGACAAGGAAGTGAGTTAAATAAAAGCTTGTAAAAATTTTAAATAACAAGTGTGGCATGTTTTAAACGACCTTACCCAATTATAAAGTTGTTTAAACATTGCATTAGACCACCAATTCTACTATCAAATAACCTCTCCTTTCTTGGAACTGCAAGAATTCTTCAAGCAGAATAACACGTAAATATTATAATCGATATATCAGGCTCTGCAACGTGACTATTTATAGTCAAATCAAAGCATAATCAATATTTCCGAAATGACGTAACTTTTCCTGGAATCACCTTGGCTACAAGCCAGCAAGTGGCGAGCTTAAGTTGGTTCCCAAGTAGTCGTCAGTCATTAAGCTCACCTGAGTTATCAACTGCGGTGGTCTGTGCTATTCAGGTATTGTATGGTAATTAATTATGTTAGTTATCTAAAATGCATGTAGTTATTTTTTAAATATATGTTTAAGATAGTTATATATATATATATATATATATATATATATATATATATATATCGTAATGTGGAGGAATACTGTTTACAATTATCTAATGCGATTAACATATTTTGGGGAGTTTTTTTAACTGAAGACAAAAACAACGCTTGTAAGAAGCAGCCTAAAATATGAATTTACATTGTCTACAGTAGTCGACATCTATTGTACTTATTATAGGACTTTTATTTCGGTAGCAGTTGAGTAAAGTTTTCTGGTAGCAAAGAAATAGGATATTGATTCCAAAAAATTGAAAAATTAAAATCGCCTGACTTATACAATATGTCATCTGGATACAAACTGCATCTTACACAAGCTCTTTTTAATTAATCTGATGCAGAAACGATCTTTATAGAGTAATATTTTCTAACATGGGTTAAGTTTAAAAAACTCAATTATAAATAGATATGTTTGAAGAAATTAACATAACTTAAAAAAAAAAAGAAAATGGCGTCATGTCTCGTTCTTCAAACACTAAGAAGTGATTTTGAACGAGAACTTATTTAGCCCCGCCTTTGTATTGAACAGCGTGAAACGATTTGCAATCGATTTTTCTGTTGGGTAATGCTAAGGTAAGGATCTAAAGAAAACCGGTGTCTTGTAATCGATACAACTGAGCACGATTTCTGTTTTGGTTTAACTTTCTTTTCAAGGTGACGGGCTTAATCTAAGACATGGTTCGACTTGTGAAATATAATACCAATGTAAGGCTACCTTATAATGTCTTATAAAAGAACTGACAACTTATTTAAAGCTAGAGGCACTGCCGCAGCACCGAGATGTGCATGAAGCGGTGGGCTTAAGGACATAGTCTAGACAAGATGTCTACGCACGACCCCCTTTGTTACCAAATCCTAACTACGCTCGACGCCCTTTGTTACCAACTTCAAACTACGCACGACCCCCTTTGTTACCAACTCCAAACTACGCCCGACCCTCTTTGCTCGCAACTCCAAACTACGTACGCCCCCATTTGTTACCAACTCCAAACTATGCTCGACCCCCTTTATTACCAACTCCAAACTACGTACGACCCCTTTTGTTACCAACTTCAAACTACGCACGACCCCCTTTGTTACCAACTCCAAACTACGCCCGACCCTCTTTGCTCGCAACTCCAAACAACGTACGCCCCCATTTGTTACCAACTCCAAACTACGTACGACCCCTTTTGTTACCAAATCCAAACTACGCTCGATCCCCTTTGTTACCAACTCCAAATTACAAACGTCCCTCCCACCATAGACCAACTTTCATTCCCTCACCAACCTATCCTGACATTACCCCTGAAATAGCTGAACACACCTATCACAACACACGCACACAAAAACAAAACGCAAACAACACACATGAACAGTGCACGCAACCCAGAAACAGATCTATGTCCTGCTATCGCCATCAACCACACAAGCACACGCACAGAACAAACCTACAGGCTACCCAAACTCAATCGACCAATGTGGACCAGTTGGACAATGTCCAGTCTAGAAGTTCTTCACCCTGCGATGCAATACATGAGCAAGTCTTAACTAGACCGACACAAGGTGAAACAAGGGAAGACGATACGATTTCTGGACAAGCAACAGCTTCATTCAATCTTTCTCCTCCAGCTAATAACTCAACTATAACAATAGAACAACAAGCTTACAACACACAGCCACATACAGAAACAACTCACACGCCCAAAGAAACGTCTTCTTCATCCGTTCCCTACATGGATACACATTCTAGACCTTGCAGTAATGAAAATCTGAACAAAAGCTCGTCCAACAACTATGTGCCAGCAACAGTTCCTACAGAAACAATTCAGGAAAATAATCTTTCACAAAATGTCCTTCGGAATATTGCGGCCTATCAAATAGAAGCAGGAAAACAGAACTCTCCAGTTGAACATATTCTTTTGAGTCTTTTAGATGGAGTGATCTTAGCTGAAAACTCTCAAAGAATCCATAGACCTAATATTATGTAAGTATTGAATTTATTTGATAGACGCTTAAACATTGATAAAGTATGGTCATACCTCACTTTTAAAAGGGGACACACAGATATATATATATATATATATATATATATATATATATATATATATATATATATATATATATATATATATATATATATATATATATATATATATTATATATATATATATATATATATATATATATATATATATATATATATATATATATATACAGAACTTTTTCGGGTACTTTTTCGTATTATAACTGTACACCATGTATCCTCAGCAATTTCAACAACATCATCATGAACAACAACATCAACAACAGCACCAACAACACCAACCACAGCACCAACAATGTGAACGGAAAAAACGTTGTTGTAAGCGGCGAGATCAACTTGAACGCTGCAGACACGGACGAGACCAACGATGAGGACAGTGGAGATGAAAGTCAATGAACACAAGTCAATGGTACTCAGAGACTTAAAGAACATTTTCACGGGGAATGTCACAAATCAACGGATCACAAACATCTATAAGACATTATTTAACATTAAGACATTGTTTTAAAGTTTTGTCATGTAACTGAAACTAGACCAATAGATAACGAAATATAGTCGAAATATTGCAGTCATTTTGACCCTTTTAAGAAACTATTCACAGTACATCTTGTCCACTCATTTTGTTTAGGAATTATATTGACATGATGTTTTTAATTATATTGACATGATATTTTTAAACTATTTTGACATGATATTTTTTGAACTATATTAACGAACAACATCTTGACGCGCTGACAACACCACTTCCCATTAACATTAGCCAAGCCACATTGTAATGATTTCGCCAAATACTACTTCGTACTAAAATGAAATAATTTACCTAGTTCTACGTAAATATGACTACACCTAAACACTACTTTATATTAATTTCACTGCATTAGTAATTTCATTGAATAACAACATAAACCATGTACAGTTTAATAGCTTTGTACAAATACTTTTGATTTCTCTGGCTATTCACAAAGCTTACTTTACTTAAACTACACTACGAAAAATAAAGTCTTATGTTATAATGACTTATCCAAAAATAGCCGCTTTATTCAAAGAAAGATTTAAGTACACAAATCAATTATGCGAGACGTGTTTGAAACAAAAAGCAAGGAGTTAAAGAAATATTTACCTATACCTTTATTTAATACATGCAAAACTACAATACATTTTTAAAAATCAATCTACGTGTTGCTTTTATAGTCTATAAATTTTCAGGCTGACTGATTAGATTATCCTCCATAAATTACACCTCGTATTAGGGTAGATGGGTTGGAAGGACTTTGTTTATATTTTGGTTTAACTTTGAAAAATTTACTACTTTAACTATTCACAACAATCCTAGTAATCTATAAGTGAAGTTCCACAATCTCCACACAAGAAAGACAACCCAACTAAATGGTGTCTTCAGTGTTTAAAAATGTCAAACTAACAGGAGACAAATGTAAAGGAATAACCTTTCAATCGCTTCAATATTGAGCTGTTTTTATGTAGTCATTTTAATGTATTAAAGTATGTGTAATTAAGCATACATTCTATTACGTTCTTTCATAAAGTTAAAAAAATAATTTTTGAAAAAGAATGCAGAAACGCTTAACCCACATAGAACTTGTGGATGTAATGGATATTTAAAGTTAACGTTTTTTTTTTCAACACGACTATTTTAATGTTTAAAACGTACCTGGTAGTCTCTGGGAGACAATTTCTTGACTTTGGGTGGCGTCAAAGTGTCACACCTAGCTAGTGACACCACTGTATTTCATGATCGCACGTTAAAAGACTACGCTTACTTTAATGACAACCCTCCCTCTAACCCAATACATGTATTTCTCAAACGACACCACATATCACAACAACAGCATTACATAGCACACCAAAAGCGTCACCGTTGCTACTTATGGCCAATGCCTAAAACGTCCACACAAATCAGACATTAGCCTACGTAATTTAAAAAAAACCTGAAAAATTAAAGATAGTTTCATTACATATTTATTTAAACTTCGAGTGAGAAGTGAGAAAATTATTTTTTGAAAATTCAACATAAACATTTCATAAAAAAAAAACGTTTTAATAACAAGCTTTAATGTAATAATTCACTAAAAAGTAGAACATAAATTATACACTACTATTTAAATAACTTTAAAGAAAAGCGTGGGCCACTTTAGTATCTACTAGAATACCCGTCATCCGTTGGATAACTGTGGGTTTCGGGGGTCATCCATCAAAAAACATCACGTCTGTCACTCAGAGGCATAGCGACCCTTCCCGGCGCCCGGGGACAAACTTTTCGATTTGAACACCCCCCCCCCCCAAAAAAAATTTCGATTTTCAACCCCCCCCCCCCCCTCAAACTTTTGATGTGCACCCCCCCCCCCCCCCCCCCCACTCAAACTTTCGATTTGAACCCCCCTCAACCTTTCAATTTATTTTTCCAAACCATTTTGGCGCCCCAACAAAGTTCCCCCCCCCCCTTTCGGGCTTCCCGTTCCCCCCCCCCCCCGCCTCCCCTCCCGCCCCCCCCCCTCCTCGCTACGCTACTGCAGTGTCACTTATCGTCACAAAAAAACAGACCCCACATTCAAAAATATGTTTTTTATCTTTTAAAAACACCGAAAACACCGATTTCGGACTATCCCTTCATATACTGACGTCACATGTGACCTACTCAACTCTACTTCACCTGCCCAGTGTCCCGCCAAGTCTCAGACAACATGTTTTTATCGTTTAAAAAACGATTCCAGCCGAGCATGTCTCTAACCACACTATCCCTTCATATGCTTAGGACAAAGAAACAGATGAACTCTACTTAACCTGCCCTGTATCCTGCCAAGTTCAGATAGGCAACTTTATCATTCACATCTAAAAAAAAATTGAAAAAAAATATCATTGACATATTGGTTTAGAACCTGTGCCACCCGCATGAGAGCCGCCTACACTACCAACTTAGCTATTTACTCGTGACGTCACAAATGAATTTTTATACTATACTTTGAGTCTCCTTATGCAACTTGATTTACGCGCATAGATCTAGATCTAAGTCTAGTAGTAGTAGTAACTTTCAAATTAAATTTTATCTTAAATTGCCAAACAAAGATTTATATAAAATAATTAAGGCCTGAAATAGATTCTATATGTATTAAGGCCTGAAATAGATTCTAGATGTAGAATTTACATTAAGTCTAGATCTAGAATTTACATAGAGTCTAGTGACCTAGATCTAGGCTAGATCTAGATCTAGGCTAGATTCATAACTTTCCTTCGACAGCTGATCTTTAGATCTAGAGAAATTTATTGTAAAACTAAATGAAAAAAAGACAGTTGAAAATTGATATGTGTTGGAACGTAATAAATACAGCAAACGGACGTATTGTTAAAGTTATGACCGACAGAAAATTAGATTTAGAACGCGTTAAACTTTTGAATGGGAACACAATTTTCTTCGATAGACGCCGCCATTTTATTGTACTAAAGAGTAAACAAAAAACTGTGACGTCACGGTCCCGCCGAGTGTAGTGGTCGTTCTAAACTTTTAAAAAAAATAGGGTTACTCTACGTATGAATAAATCAATAAATTAATTAACGTCTTTAAATAAATGTGTGATTAACAGTCTGTCTTAAAACAAAAAATTTTCTCTACCTACATGCTATTTTACAGCTCTCCACGATGAGTGCAACCATGCGCAATAGTCAATCAGCCAAACAAACAAACAAACAAAAAAACAAATAAATATTCAAACATGTAAACAAACTTGACTTTTAGTAGTATACTAGAATACCCGTCATCCGTTGGATAACTGTGGGTTTCGGGGTCATCCATCAAAAAACATCACGTCTGTCACTCAGAGGCATAGCGACCCTTCCCGGCGCCCGGGGACAAACTTTTCGATTTTAAACCCCCCCCCCCCAAGATTTCGATTTTCAACCCCCCCCCCCTCAAACGTTTGATGTGCACCACCCCCCACCCCCCCACCCCCCCCCCCCCCCCCCCCACTCAAACTTTCGATTTGAACCCCCTCAACCTTTCAATTTATTTTTCCTAACCATTTTGGCGCCCCAACATATGTCCCCCCCCGCCCCCGCCCCCCCCCTTCCCCCCTCCACCTCCCCCCGCCTCCCCTCCCGCCTCCCCTCCCCCCCCCTCCTCGCTACGCTACTGCAGTGTCACTTATCGTCACAAAAAACAGACCCCACATTCAAAAATATGTTTTTTATCTTTTAAAAACTCCGAAAACACCGATTTCGGACTATCCCTTCATATACTGACGTCACAGGTGACCTACTCAACTCTACTTCACCTGCCCAGTGTTCCGCCAAGTGTTAGACAACATGTTTTTATCGTTTAAAAAACGATTCCAGCCGAGCATGTCTCTGACCACACTATCCCTTCATATGCTTAGGACAAAGAAACAGATGAACTCTACTTCACCTGCCCTGTATCCTGCCAAGTTCAGATAGGCAACTTTATCATTCACATAAAAAAAAAATTGAAAAAAAAATATCATTGACATATTGGTCTAGAACCTGTGCCACCCGCAAGAGAGCGGACTACGCTATCAACTTAGCTATTTACTCGTGACGTCACAAATGAATTTTTATACTATATTTTGAGTCTCCTTATGCAATTTGATTTACGCGCATAGATCTAGATCTAAGTCTAGTAGTAGTAACTTTCAAATTAAGTTTTATATTAAATTAGCCAAACAAAGATTTATATAAAATAATTAAGGCCTGAAATAGATTCTAGATGTATTAAGGCCTGAAATAGATTCTAGATGTAGAATTTACATTAAGTCTAGATCTAGAATTTACATTGAGTCTAGTGACCTAGATCTAGGCTAGATCTAGATCTAGGCTAGATTCATAACTTTCCTTCGACAGCTGATCTTTAGATCTAGAGAAATTTATTGTAAAACTAAATGAAAAAAGACAGTTGAAAATTGATATAAGTGTTGGAACGTAATAAATACAGCAAACGGACGTATTGTTAAAGTTATGACCGACAGAAAATTAGATTTAGAACGCGTTAAACTTTTGAATGGGAACACAATTTTCTTCGATAGACGCCGCCATTTTATTGTACTAAAGAGTAAACAAAAAACTGTGACGTCACGGTCCCGCCGAGTGTAGTGGTCGTTCTAAACTTTTAAAAAAAAATAGGGTTACTCTACGTATGAATAAATCAATAAATTAATTAACGTCTTTAAATAAATTTGTGATTAGCAGTCTGTCTGCATTAAAAAATTATTCTCTACCTACATACTATTTTACAGCTCTCCAGATAGAGTAAAACATATCACAATACTCGATCGGACAAACAAACAAATAAATATTCAAACATGTAAACAAACTTGACTTTTAGTAGTATATAGATAGATTGGATATCTTAACTAATATTTAGGAAGAGATCCACGCTTTTCTTTATAGTAATTTAAGAAGTAGTGTATAATTTATTTTCTAGTTTTTAGTGCATTATTACATAAACTCTTGTTATTAAAACGTTTTTATGACTTTTTTTGTACTATACATGTTTTATTTACAATAGAGTTGCATTACTAAAAACCCTTGCGCACCCATTGAACGTGAGGACGACCTATTGAGCGTGATGACACGTATATAATAGCGCGGAATAGTTTGATGAGACCGCCTACTAATTTGGACAAAATTTTTATTAATTCATAAAAAATTAATCAGGCGACCAATTAAGTCAAATTGAATATCATGATGCATTGTCTTCATGTCTTGACCCACGTACCAACTACGAGCCGTATCTGTCAGTTAGAAGTGCCTGCAATTTCGCTCGGCCGTTTAGATCTAGACAGATTGACGACAGACTGACGACAGACTGACTAGGAAGTGAGTTAAATAAAAGCTTGTAAAAATTATAAATAAAAAGCGTGGCATGTTTTAAACGACCTTACCCAAATATAAAGTTGTTTAAACATTGCATTTGACCACCAATTCTAGTATCAAATAACCTCTCCTTTCTTGGAACTGCAAGGATTCTTCAAGCAGAATAACACGCAAATACAATAATCGATATATCAGGCTCTGCAACGTGACTATTTATAGTCAAATCGAAGCATAATCAATGTTTCCGAAGTAATGTATCTTCTCCTGGAATCACCTTGGCTACAAGCCAGCAAGTGGCTAGCTTAAGTTGGTTCCCAAGTAGTCGTCAGTCATTAAGCTCACATGAGTTATCAACTGCGGTGGTCTGTGCTATTCAGGTATTGTATGGTAATTAATTATGTTAGTTATCTTAATGCATGTAGTTTTTTTAAATATATGTTTAAGATAGTTATATATATATATATATATATATATATATATAAATATATATATATATATATATATATATATATATATATATATATATATATATATATATACATATATATATATATATATATATATATATATATATATATATATATATATATATATATATATATATATCGTAATATTGAGGAATACTGTTTACAATTATCTAATGCGATTAACATATTTTGGGGAGTTTTTTGAACTGAGGACAAAAACAACGCTTGTAAGAAGCAGCCTAAAATATGATTTTACATTGTCTACAGTGGGCGACATCTATTGTACTTATTATAGGACTTTTATTTCGGTAGCAATTGAGTAAAGTTTTCTGGTAGCAAAGAAATAGGCTATTGATTCCACATAATTGAAACATTTAAATCGCCTGACTTATACAATATGTCATCTGGATATAAACTGCATCTTACACAAAGCTCTTTTTAATTAATCTGATGCAGAAACGATCTTTATAGAGTAATATTTTCTAACATTTGTTAAGTTTAAAAAACTCAATTAGAAATAGATATGTTTGAAGAAACTAACATAACTAAAAAAAAAAAGAAAATGGCGTCATGTCTCGTTCTTCAAACACTAAGAAGCGATTTTGAACGAGAACTTATTTAGCCCCGCCTTTGTATTGAACAGCGTGAAACGATTTACAATCGATTTTTCTGTTGGGTAATGCTAAGGAGCTAAAGAAAACCGGTGTCTTGTAATCGATACGACTGAGCACGATTTCTGTTTTGGTTTAACTTTCTTTTCAAGGTGACGGGCTTAATCTAAGACATGGTTCGACTTGTGAAATATAATACCAATGTAAGGCTACCTTAAAATGTCTTATAAAAGAACTGACAACTTATTTAAAGCTAGAGGCACTGCCGCAGCACCGAGATGTGCATGAAGCGGTGGGCTTAAGGACACAGTCTAGATAAGATGTTCCAGAGGCATAGCGATGGGGGGGGGGGGGGCAGGGGGGGACATATGTCCCCGGGCGCCGACTTTAGGGGGCGCCAAAATGGGTTGTAAAAGTAATTTAAAATGTCATTTTAGCTTCATCTTTGCAGTTTGATGGGGGGGGGGGGTGTGCAAATCGAAATGTTGAGGGGGGGGGGGGGTTGCAAATTGAAAATTTGCTTCCGAGGGGGCGCCAAATTGAAAGTTTGTCCCCGGGCGCCGGGAAGGGTCGTTACGCCTCTGAGATGTTCCGTTGAATGATGTAAAAAATAAATCGGGAGTGATCTCCCCAAAACTTTCTCGAATATTTGTTACCAACTCCAAACATCGCACGACCCCCTTTGTTACCAACTACAAACCATATACGACCCCCTTTGTTACCAACTCCAAATTACAAACGTCCCTCCCACCATAGACAAACTTTCATTCCCTCACCAACTTATCCTGACATTACCCCTGACATCGCTCAACACATCCATCACAACACACGCACAAAGAAACAACACGCCAACAACATACATACTAGACACCAATTCACACAACCCAGAAACAGATCTATGTCCTGCTATCGCCCTCAACCACACAAGCGCACACACAGAAGAAACCCACAGGCTACACAAACTAGGTCGACCAATGTGGACCAGTTGTGCAATGTCCAGTCTAGAAGTTCTTTACACTGCGGTGGGAAACACCAAAACCATCGGCCTGAAAAGTACAGAACGACTCAAAGACGAAACCTGTTGCCTAATCAAGAAGGAAGTGGAACTACGATATTTGGACAAGCAACTGCTTCGTTCAATCATCCTCCTCCAACAATCAATTCAAACATTGCTATGACACCAGGAACAAGAAGGAAGTGGAACTACGATATTTGGACAAGCAACTGCTTCGTTCAATCATCCTCCTCCAACAATCAATTCAAACATTGCTATGACACCAGGAACCTGCAGAAAACAGCCACACAAACAACCACACAAACAGCCACACAAACAGACAGCTGCATCATTCACAGAGTCATTTGACCCCTTAGTTCAAGACAATAATGGAAACAGCAAAAATGAACACTTCCGGAAAAACTCTTTCAATTGGCCTGTACTTACATTAAACACTGGAACAAGTGCAGAAAATACTCTTTCACAGAACGTCGAACAATAGGTAGGAAAAGTCTATGTAATCATACTAAATTTTTAAAAAATTATTTAAAAAAATATAGACAGCGATAAAATTATAGCTACATTTTCAAAAATTAAAGCCGTTTGGGAACTATCGATTACACTCATTTTCATATTTTTGTATTGAACATAAGCCGTTGAAAATGATTTTGAATGGTTGTATAAATTTAGATATTTAATAAAACCGCCCTCAACCCCACCTTGAACTGAACTGAAGTGGCCAGGGAGAGTAAAAAGATTAAAGTCATAACATTTTTTTTCCGCGATAAATACGGACAAGGTGTTTCGAGAATACAAAATGGCGAACAAGGGAATATTTTCAGTTCGATTCAGGCTTTTAAAATTCGTTTGTATCCCTTTTCATTATAGTTGGCTTATTTTTTTATGACTGTTATGCTCAGATTACTAATATCTAACATTATTCTTATTAATTGTTACCAATGTTTTTGTAGAATGTTTTTAACGCATGTAGATCTACTCACTGTAAGTTCTGTGAGTGCTCCTAGAATCAAGCCATACGATTCTAGATCTAGACTCTAGACCTAGATCTAGATCTAGATAGATATCGAGATCTAATCTAGATCTAGATTATCTAGACTAAAATAGATTTATATCGAGAATCTAGTACTAGAGTCTAGATTCTAGGAGGAGTGCTCTAGAGTCTAGAGATCTATTCTAGATCTAGATCTAGATCTAGAATCTATTATAATTATTATTGTACTAATATTGTAGGCCTCAGGCCTATTAGTATTAACTTTAATTTAATCTAATATATAAAGCTCAATTCTGTAACGTGTGGCAAAAAAGTCTGTCGTTGACAGTTCTATGGATTTAAGCGTAAGATTTTTTATCGTGCTCACAGTCTAAATTTACGAGTCAAAAAATTACCATTGAAAGTCTTTAAAAACAATTTTCATTCTATTTACTTAGAAGAATAATTTTCAATTATGAACGCGACATAAAATTTTTAAAAAGTGTATCGACGTTTATAAACTTTCTAAAATTGTGTCGGAAATGTATTGACTGCACAGTTACTTCCCTTTAATAAAAAAAAATTCTTAAGAAGAAAGAATTTACATTTTATTACTCTGTTTTTGGTGTTAAGAAAAAAAAAATAATTACATAATTAGCGGGGATTGATTAAGTGCAATGTCGTTAGGTATTTTTAACACTGCCTTTTATTTATTCTATACACTGAACATACTGTTCAATATTTTTTTTTTTTAAATCAATAACATTTAATAAGCCAGGTCCTACAAATCCTATATGTTTATTTCTTTCCATTTACGGATAAGCTTGGAGTATTATCATTTTTGTTCACTAAATTGAAACAGGCGCGTCCGCCGGCGCCCTTGCACGGTTCGATTTGGCACCCTGGGCTATCATGTGAGCGCTATGCTGCATAGTTTTGTTTTTAACAGTGCGATAGACTATGGGTAAGAAAGGTTACTATAGTCTTTAAGTGAATCAAATCCGGGCGTCCTCCGGCACCCCGACAGGGTGCTATTTGGCGCCCCGGGCCTTCCGGTGTACGCTATGGTATATACGTTCGCGTGAATTCAAAAGACTATGAATAAGTTATGTACTATAGTCGTTTACTAAGTTCAATCAGGCGGTGACGTCATGGTGCGTCCTCTGGCGCCCAGACAGGGTGCTATTTGGGGTCCCGGGCCTCCCGTGTTCGGTTTCGCGCCTACGTTCATTAAAGTGAGTGCAAAAGACTATGAATAAGTTGGGGTACTATAGTCGTTTATTAAGCTGAAACAGGCGATTCCGCCCCGGGCTAGACTCTGAGCACTGTGCGTTTATGTTCGCGTTAGTGTTTTCTTTGTGTTTAGGTTGGGTTTGCGTTAGTGGTTGCGTTTTGATTTGGTTCGTTTTTGTTCTTTCTTTTTTCGTTTTCGTTTGTGTTTTATTTTCTTTGCGTTTGTGTTTGTATTTGTGTTTGTGGTTGGTTTTGCGTTTGTATTTGGTTTGTTTTCGTTTGTTTTTTCGTTTGTGTTTTTTTCTTTGGGTTTGTGGTTGGTTTTGCATTTGGATTTGGTTTGTTTTCGTTTGCTTTTTCGTTTGTTTTTTTCTTTGTGTTCGTATTGGTGTTTGTGGTTGTGGTTGGGTTAGTTGTTAGGTTTTTGTTTTCGTTTGTATTTGTAATTGTGTTAGCGTTATGTTTGCGTTTTGTTGTTTTGGTTTTGGTTTGGGTGTGCAATGCCGGGTTTATGATGATTACTAAACACACAGGTAATGGTCTTTAACAGAAAGGTTTTTCACAGAAGCCAGATCTTCTAGTTAGTTAAGTAACTTTATATTGTACGACAGTAGATCTATTAAGTATAAGTCAAGTAGTAGAGAATAAGAGATCTACTCTAGTCTAGATCTAGAAGTTATATATTTATAAAAATCTATATTAAATAATTCAATAAGTAATAAGTATATTGAAGTACTTTAAGTTAATAGTAATAATAGATAAGTTAAATAAATTAGGCCCATAGTTTATATTATAAATGTGTAGCTGGTATAAACTAGTTTTATAGACTAGTCATATAGTAAATAGTTAATCTTAGTAATTAGTTAGTAGGGCACTACATACGCCTAGTCTAATAAATGATTAGTCTAATTTGTTAGAGCCTACTTGTTAAAATATATTTACTATAGTAGTAGTATTCTATGGTACAGATGACAGTCCTAATACTTACTTTGTTAATATGATTAGGGCCTAGTTAGAGGTAATTACTAATTAGACTTATGATGACTTATGTTAGTCTAATAACTAATAGATTCATATTTAATAGCAGTAGGTCTATAGGCTTAAAATAGTATTGTAAAAAAAAATAAAGTATGCTTAATTTTTACAGTTGTCATATTACTTTTAGTTCAGTAGGCCTATCTAGACTGTAGATTTAGATGTAGTAGCTTAGTAGTAGTCTAGTAGGCCTGTGATTGGGTAGGTATTTAGTATGTGTATGTAAGTTAAGCAAAGTTAACTAGGCTTAATAAGGCTACAATTTTAAACTTGTAAAAATTACATGTAGCCTAAATAAAAGGTTACAGACTAGTACATTAAATAATATCCAAAATTTAAGTTTAATCTAGATTAGTAGTCTAACAGTAATTTTAGGCCTCTAATAATAATAGTAAAAATTACTGAATAGAAGAGTAGGCTTACTAGTAAATAGCTGTCTTATTTTAGTTCTTCTTAATTAACTTAATATATGACTTAGTCTACTCTTAGTATTATATAGTGATCTTTAGAATTTAAAATGCAGAATAGTTGATAAAGCCAAAAGGTGTCAATTGTCATAGATGGATTAACTTACTAATCAAATTAATATAATTATCCTAATATTTATTTTAGTATGTGTATGAATTAATGATAGTTATAGTAGCCTAGTTTGAATATCAATTTTCAACTAATTCCTGAGGTGGCTAAACATAAGTAGTAGATCTTTATTGATACCTTTTTCTTTTTTTTAATGATATATACATGACTTTTGGACTCTTTTGAAGGCCTATTGTATTTTATGACAAACTCCTTACATTAAAATATTAAAAGTAAACTATTAGACCTATATTTTTAATGAATGGTAATGGTTAGATAGCCCATACAATCAAATACATAAATACACATCATTGCTTTATGATCTTTATAAGACAGGCAAATATTTTTATTTATAACATTAAGAGTTGAAAGTATGTAAACATAATGAGTTTAATATAACAGTTTATGAAATTCATTTGTTTTTTTTTAGATACTGTGGATTATACAACTGCATACAGAGAAGACAAAAGTCAAGATGGAGCTTAATTTAAAAACTGATCCAAGGATACATGTTGGACCCAAGAAAACTTGTTCATAATGAACAATTATTTTTTTAATATTCTGAATGAATATGGTAATTAAAAAAAAGAAAATATAAACTTTGTTATGTTTTTTTTTTCAGCACTGGTTGTGTGTGCTGGTGTATGCGGAAACTAATAATTGCTACCTTTATTCAATAATTAACTTAAACTGGCGAACTATAAATAGTTTTTAAGAATATGGTGCTGAAGTAGATTTCACCTAGTTTTGTTGCCCTTCCATATTAATAAATTGTACGGTCAGCAAAATGTCAAACAGCTTTTACTAAGTTTTACTGTCCATAACCAGTCAGGTACCAGTTAAAGCTGCTTTGAATTTGAATCAGCGACAACCTAAAGGATTAAAATTTCAACTCAAGAACTTTTGCTTTAGCAAATGTGTCACAAATATGTAGTCCCACTATAAGTCTTACATTTGCATATATCTATCATAGCTGTAAAACATAATGATAAGGGAAGAATCAAGAATATGGGTTTTTCTCAATTCTAGCCATACCACAAATACCAGCATATGGAAATATGGCTGATAACTAACCATCAACCACAAATACAACAAACTATAATCACTGCCTGTTTCCTGGTAATGTGTTGTTATTGGCTGTGCAAGTTTATGAACATGTACAAAAGAAAAAGACTTGCTGATCAGATGCATTCCAGATATTTGAGGAAAATATGTTTTCTATAAGGATAGGCAGCTATAGCAAATGAGCTTAGGGGAAATGTTGAGTTAAGATAAACTATTTAATAATTGTAATGGCAGAGATACCATCAAAAAACAAATGTAATTAGGTTTGTATGACTAATTAATGAATATCCTATAAATTATAGCAAAATGTTGTAGTGGTCTCGGACTTTGGTGGGGGAGATTTGGACCTTTGTGTCAAGGGCAGTAGCGTAGAGGGGGGGGGGGACGACATATGACCCCGGGCGCCGACCTTAGGGGGCGCCAAAATGGGTTGGAAAAATAAATTGAAAAGGTTGAGGGGGGTGCAAATCAAAAGTTTGAGAGGGGGGGGGGGTGCAAATCTAAAGGTTTGGCGCCGGCAAGGATCGCTACGCCTCTGGTCAAGCGGGAGGGGGTTCAGAAAGTAAGATGACACTTTTCCATGTTCAACAAACACTCATGTTAAGAAACTGAATTTAAGCCCTTATTTGCATTATTAAAAGTTGTTTTATAAATTGTTATAAAATAATTCATCAATAGGCCTACATTGAATGTTGGAAAAGCCCATAGGTCTAAATATTTTATGAAAATCGCTGCTTTAAAACAAAATAGGGGGGGGGGGGGGTTGGCTTAGGTTTACTTTTTTGGGGAAGGGGGAGGTCTGGCATCGTTGTGACATCGTTAATAGATGACCCCATAGTCAGAGGTCGATCTAGATTGATTAGGCCTATATTAAAATGTTGATATTAATTACGCTTTACTTATTATTACAATGGAATATAGCCTAATAGTTTATTTATATTAAATAATATAACATCCCCTTGCACCACAACACCCTGACTATACTAATCCAAACAAAAATAAAAATGTTTGGTAAATTACTTTTATATTATTAGTGATTTTGTGTTTAAATATTTCTATCTTAATAAAACCGGAAGTGACTTTGTACTTATTTCAAAAATGTTATAAAATATTCAATTTTGGTTCAAAAATATGCTTTCTGGCAACACAAAGTGGAACCACTTTTGGAACCACTTTTCCTACCTATTATTTCAAGCTGATCCAGGGCTTCGTGGGCCTATTATTTTGTAAGTATTGAATGTTATTGATTATGTTTAGATATTGAGAAACACACACACACACACACACACACACACATATATATATATATATATATATATATATATATATATATATATATATATATATATATATATATATATATATATATATATATATATATATATATACTAAAACTCAAGTTTGTTTACATGTTTGAATATTTATTTGTTTGTCTGATTTCGTACTGTAAAGAAACTGCTCTATATGGGGGCTGTAAAATAGTATGTAGGTAGAGAACAACTTTTGATTGCAGACAGACTGTTAATCTCACATTTATTTAAAGACGTTAATTAATTTATTGATTTATTCATAGGTAGATTAACCACATTAATTAGAAAAGTTTAGAACAATGAATTTAGTAATAGTAAAAAAGTTTTTTTTTACAGCATTTTTTTCAATTATTTTTTCTTAATGCCTATATGTGAATGATAAGGTTGACTATCAGGACCTCGCGGGGCACAGGGCAGGTGAAGTAGAGTTCACCTGTTTCTATGTTCTCAGCATATGAAGGGATAATGTGGTCAGAGCCAAGCTCGGCCGGAATTGTTTTTTTTTTTTTTTTTAAATACAAACATGTCTGAGACTTGGCGGGGCACAGGGCAGGTGAAGTAGAGTTTAGTAGAGTTTTTAAAATATAAAAAACGTCTTTTTGAATGTGGGGTCTGGTTATTTTGGGTTGATAAGTGCTGGCAGAAGTTATGTCATTTATGGATGACCCCCCAAAACCCACAGTTATCTAACTGTCGCATTGTATCACAAAAAGTCACCACCGCCCTTCTTAACATGACTTGATTGTTCGGAATTATATCCCTTTCGATTTGTAGAGTACATTTTTCCGTTGATTAATTTCTAAAATACTATTTGATTAACTTGTATTACAGTTTACACACACGCACTAGTCTGATGTAATACTTTCTGACCCTTACCCTCCTCTTCACTGAAAATAAAAATTATCCACCACCCCCACCCTCCTTTGGAGTTGAGGTGTTTTTTTTATGACCCCCCCCCCCCCCCCGACCCATGAACATATGTATGAACTATTTTCTATTCTACATTTGTATTGCATCTGTCCCCAGCAATATTTACAACACCAACAATGTCAACGGACACAACGTTGTTGTAAATGGCAAGATGAACGTGAATACTGCGGACTCTCAGGAAGACGACGATGAGGACAGTGGAGATGAAAGTCAATAGAGCACAGTCGTTTATAGTACATTGTAATGGTGAAGGACACACATCTACACACACATTTAAAGAACATTGTCATGGTGATAGACACAAATCTACATACACATTTATAGAACATATTTTATAACGAGATTTTCCAAGGATGTTCACTTTATACAAAGCACAATTTAAAAAGTAATCAGTTGGTAAAGCGAGACATCAGAAAATACTAGTTCAAGAATTCAAGAAATGTTTTATTTTATTCAATAAATGGAGGAAAACATTACACACATTTCATAAAACAATGTGTTTGCCTTTTTTAATTAAATGCGTAGCCTGTTAGTAGCCTGATTGTACGTTGAATGACCGATGTGACCTGTGTGACATGTGTGACCTGTGTGACCCATGTAACCTTTGTGACCTCTTTGACCTGTAAGTTGTGTGATCTGTTTGACCTGTGTGACCTGTGTGACCTATGTGACCTGTGTGACCTGTGTGACCTGTAAGACGTGTGTGTCCTGTAAGTTGTGTGACCTGTGTGACCTGTTTGACTTGTGGGAACTGTGTGACCTGTGTGACCTTGTGACCTATGTGACCTGTGTGACCTGTGTGACCTGTAAGTTGTGTGACCTGTGTGACCTATGTGACCTGTGTGATCTGTGTGAACTTATGACAACTTAGCATTCTAATATGGACCCCCACAGCCAAACCACTGTAGAAAACGATAGCCCATAAAAATTGCAACAAAGCAAAACGCTAAACGCAATCTGATCGGTGTGTGAAATCAAAACAAGAGCATTCAGCTGCATGTATTGTGTGCATTGTCCTAATAGACAGAACTTTTTGGAAAAAAAGATTAGCAATGTGAAGCTTCGGACGCTCTGGTCCATATGGTTTGTTCACTATCACAAGGCGATGACAGATGACGATGACAGAAGCAGATGAACTCTTTGCATCTGTTCCAAAAAAATTGTCTGGTCTAAAATGGCATTTACTTTTACATTATCCATTATAAATGTAGTATGGGACAGTCCGTTTGGTTTATGATAAAGAACTTATGGTTTTATTCACTTTTTGTATTCAGCCGTTCTGTTTTTTTAATTCAACAGTCCCACTTACACCTTTAAGCATTGATTTTGGTGGGGTTTTTTTTTTTTTTTTTTTTTCAACAGCGAAAAACTAAATATCACACTAACACAAGAGAGATAACCCAACTAAAAGTTGCATTTACATAGTTTCAAACTAAAGGGGAGATAATGCCCATAAAACCAAAATAAAAAAGAAACATTGCAGGATCAATGTAGAAATGGTTTCGCTGTTACCTTTTCTTGTACAGTAATTTATAGGTGTCAAGAATATGTATTTAAATATATTTATCGGTAATCTGGTTCAGCAAATTGTATACAAGTAACCTGTTTGTAAAACTTTATGAATGCAGACCAGGGGCGGAACTACAGTGCCGCCAGACCCCGCAATGCGGGGGGGCCCACGCCATTTAGGGGCCCACGGCCGACCCTAATTATTTTTATTATAGTTAAAAAAAAATCTAATTTTCTTGCAATTTTTGACTTGATGTTTGTTTTGTAAAGCGATTACCATAGCTGTGGTTTGATTATCTTTATTCTATAGACACCATCCCCACGCCCTTGTATATTCTTTTTCCCTTTCTTTTTAAACCACTGTGAAAGCCAAGTCCTCTCTTCTACAATTAAACGTAGCAAAGATAAGCAAACGTTCAAACAACTTCCATGACTTATTTCCCTTTTTAAATAGTCAAATTGGGGTGCTCATAAGCTCGTTTTAATAGATTTGTACTAAACAAATTAAAAAGCAATTACTTCTCTTACTAAATATTTTTTCATAAAAAACTTACTAAAGAATGACCTTGTATAAAAAGGAAATGTATTTAAAATTAATAATATAAATATAAAAAAACATAAAAATAATCATAACATGAGACACCATTACTTCTACAAAGATTTCATGTTTTATATTCGTTTGGCCAGATAGACGTTAAGAGAACCTATAGCAGATAAAATGAAACTGATTTTCTCAAAACACCTTAATGCACTTTTACACATGACATGATGTAGTAATTTGTTTTAATTGAAAATTGTTTTTATTTTTTTTCAAAACCCGAACAGGTCAGCAATGAGTATCCTATGCTCTGTTCTTATTATGTGTTTGTGTATATATATATATATATATATATATATATATATATATATATATATATATATATATATATATATATATATATATATATATATATATATATATATATATATATATATATATATATTTATGGGGGTGGGGGGCCTAAAAAATTTTTTTGCGGGGTGGCCATTTTTTTCTAGTTCCGCCACTGATGCAGACTTGATAAAAATAAGGGTATAAGATGCCCTTACAAATATGGATATAAGATGCACTTACAAATATGCGTATAAGGTGCCTTTACAAATATGTGTATAAGGTGGCCTTACAAATATGTGTATAAGGTGGCCTCACAAATATGGGCATAAGATGCCCTTACAAATATGGGTATAATATGTCTTAAGATAAGGGAAGGGGAGAAGGTGGATCAACAACAGAAGCCTAGGAATATCGGTGGCAGCAAAATATAATCCACATATTTTGGTGGATTTTGTTGGATGTACACAGTGTTGAGCGTCTAATTAAAACATTTTAAAAAATATATTGGATTCTAATTTATACCAAGTATTGTATTTTTGCACATCACTTTTGTTTTTGAAGAAACATTCTAAATCTAAGTTTTATTTTAAATATAAAAACCGTTTTTATTTGATAGAGTAATGTGGTTAATCTACACTGTAACTATGTCCCACAAGAATTTAAAGAAAGATAAACCGGGAGTGATCTCCCCTAAACTTTCTCGAATATTCTAATATAACACTACGTGGGATGGCAACTCGGAATATAGACATGATTTTTGTTTACTTAAACTTTTAAAAATAGAATAAAATCTACTAGAAAAGAGAATTGCGTACCAAGTGAACGCCAAAGCAAAAAGCGCATAATAGTGCGCAATATTATTAGTTCTTTATACATTTACATGCGTTTTTTGAGAAATCGGAAATAGCGTAAATTACTACTTCCGGTCAATGGAAATTACTTAAAATTTGATAGAAGGTAGAGAATTAGATCTTTTACTTACATGTGAAATTTCATTTATCTATCTGAAATAGTAATCAAGTTATAGGCTTTTGAAAAATTCAAAGTGGAAAAAGTACCACTTTCGGTTGTCGGAAATCGCTTAAAAGTTGATACGGATCTACGATTTTGATAAAATACCTACATACGAAATTTCATCAACCTAGCTGTAACGGTACTCAAGTAATCGTGTTTACACACAGACAGACAGACACACACAGTGAGGTGTAAAACGTCGAGATTTGTAAAAATCTCGATTTTTTTTGCACGATTACAAAACTTTCTCTATACTTCGTATATACGAGAAAGTAAAAATGAATACCATCTAATTTTTCTTTGATGAGTGAACCTCACAAGAACCTGCTCTGTGGAAGCCGGGACGCGATGTAGAGAGTATGGAAACATTGGGGTGTCATTGTTGACAGAGGCTGGCAGTTTTTGTGGGAAGGACCCAGGTGTTCTGTTGATCTAATTCAGGCTAGGGTTATATTTACGTTTAGATTAGAACTGTCAGAGCAGTAGAGGAGTCGCGTGTGTATAAGAGAAAATAAGTAGGAATACATTTAAAACCTTGGTGATCAAATAACTTGATGATAGGAGAACAAAGAGGAAGACAGATGGACAAAGTAGCTGAGTGAAGGGTTATATAACTGAGTTGCTTCATTGCGGATATACACATAGGTCATATGCTGGTTCAAAGGAGAAAATGAATACTTTTTATGTAAGGAGCGATGGTTTATGGGGTTAGGTTTAGTATAGGATTCAAAGTTTAAGGTCTTATTAAGAGCAGATGATGGTTATTATGGGGACAGCAACCCATCTAGGAGAGAGAACTCGGGAATCAAACAGGAATGGAGACCCTTTGACGATAGGAATGACAGCTCTGGTTTCCTTTCGGCAGCTCCTGCGACACTGCTGAGTCCAATTTGTACAGATAAAGTCCTGTCCCTTGGGTCCGTCAGTTGTGGGGTGAGAGGGGGGGGGGGCTGATACATGGGCAACATCTGGCTCTTCTCAACTCACCACCCAGGAGTTTTGCTTGGATTTCCAATGCGCATCTTCCGATGTTCAGTGAAACTTCGGAGCCATCTTAGTTTTACAGTTTGAGTCCAGTTTTTATGGACATGATGATATCTGCTGACGGGAGTTCTTCTAACCCAACTTTCCCTGATTTACCTCCAACATCTGAAGACCGACACAACAACTTAGAGGTTGGGTTAACATCTGAAGACCGATACAACAACGTAGAGGTTGGGTTAACATCTGAAGACCGATACAACTTAGAGGGTGGTCTAACATCTGAAGACCGACAAAACAACTTAGAGGGTGGTCTAACATCTGAAGACCGACACAACAACTTAGAGGGTGGTCCAACATCTGAAGACCGACACAACAACTTAGAGGGTGGTCTAACATCTGAAGACCGACACAACAACTTAGAGGGTGGGCCAACATCTGAAGACTGACACAACAACTTAGAGGGTGGTCCAACATCTAAAGACCGACACAACAACTTAGAGGTTGGGTTAAAAGCTCAGGTCTCTGTGACACACTTTCATTATCGCTGGCCCACCAAACATGTCGTAAAACTTGTACACACGAGCTGGGTCCATCTGTTGCACACGATATCGATACAGTCCCGTTAATCTTAACTCGCCTTCATTGATCCAGTGGCCTCCACTTGCAAGAAAAAGGTACTGCGACATTTGGACTGGACCGATAATTTCCCTTTGCCTAGTTACATTTACACTGTTATCAAAATTTACCCAATACTAGAAAAATATATTTAAAAATAGACTTACGAAAACGTCAGATCAACTTTTTGTTATTTTTTTTAAATAAAATTTAAAGGAATGTTCTTTTTTATCAAACTTGAGTTTAAATTTTATTTTCTGGTGTTAAACATGACACGTGCAAGCTCTGAAGGCCCCTTATCCGGTGAGCGGTGCGTCTTAATCCGATTAAACACTCGCGGCTGTGTCGGTCCACGGTACACGCTAAACACCGAAACGTCTGCAACTCAACGTGGTTTACCGCAGCACGCTCCAAAGATCCGTGTCGCTTGATGACATGTCATTTCTGATGAAATAGTTGCGTTTTTTTTTTGTTCCGCCTCTTCTCTGATGATGTAAGTACTCGATTTTGATACTTAAATATGGTTTTCCAGTTCATTTAGGATAGAATTAAAAGGCAATTTTTATATTTGAGTATATTTTTATAGGTGTAATAAAATATTGATGTACCCTTTAATAACTAAACCATAGTATAGCACTAAACATATCCTTTAACAGTCCATAACCATAACTTTAATAATAGTTTTCACCTTGAAAGTATGTAAAGCCTACAGAACATTTATTTCAAAGACAAAAGGATGGTTTAAAAAATCTTCATATAAATTGCTGAAGTAAAAGCCTAAACCTTTTGACGATGTTTACTAAACAGATAGTCTCGCGTTCGGATACACGGGTCGAATCTGTAGGACGTCCCTGAGTCCATCCAGCTCTGGTGGGTACCTGACTCAAATTAGAGAAAGTGAAGACGATTAAGCATAGTTTAGTGTACTAAATCTATTCATATATGTAAACTCTACTTCATTTACGACTGCCAGTTTCGAAAATGTTACTTTTTATGGACGGTAAATGAAAGGTACTAAAAAATCTGTTTCAACAATTTACAAAAAAAATTTTAATGGTAAGCATTGTGATTTCGTTTTTTCCTTGACATTTCATTGATAATTTAGAGCCTTGAACTGTCCACAACCGAATGACCACACCCACCAGCTTGACCTAAACTCTGACAACCTACACCGAAGATGGCCTCTGGGATATCGTATCTTTTGCTCGCCGGCCTCATCGCCGTGGCCATCGCGCTCAGCTCGGCCAAGATGACGGACGAGGAGCTTAAAGCCATGGAGGAGCTTAACATGAGGCACATGCTGAAGGAGGAAATCAAGATGGGGGAGAGGCAGCTCAGGAGACAGGGGGAGAGGAAGACGGCAGACACAGAGCAGCCGCAGAACTACTCACACCCTTTCCATAAGCCGGGGATTGTTGATGAGAGTGAGTGAATTCTGGGTGACGCAGCAAGGGTTTCTGGTGCCTATGGAAAAAAAGTGCATTTGTGATAGATTTTGTGTTGGATTTAAAGATAGGTTACGGTTGTTTTCATGTTTAATCGCTGCTATCAACAATTTAGGGGATGCACTAAGGGTTTGTAAAGTCCGATCAAAAGTGCGAATTTGTTCGATTTAATGTTGGATTTAAAGTAAGGTTTAAGGTTGTTTTCAGGTTTATTAAATCGTTGCTATCAACAATTCAGGGTAGTAGGGATTTCCGGGGATCCATTTAAAAAAGCGATTTGCGA